GAAGATAAAAGCCTACTTGAAAGACCTGAATAAAAAGATAGTCTAAACTTTTAATAGTGCTATTGTAAAGATTAGACTTATGAAATAAAGCTTAAACTTGTAAAGTTGAATAAAAACTAGACAGTCTTTAGGAAGAGGTTATTGTAACTGGCCAGGCTACTAGTATTTATTTCAAAGAAAAAGATTACATGCCAGAAAAACATATAAATTAGAAGTATAATTGTATCTATCTTTTTGGGCTATCTGGACTAAGAGCCTAATAAAACTTGAATTAAATATCAAAGTAATAGAGATATGTTGTAAAGTAAGTACAAGGGTTTGGATAAACTCTACAAGAACATAATGGTTTAATAGTAAGCTCTAATTACAAGTATTGGTTTTGGCTATAGTATAACTAGATTAGTTATAAAAATAAAATACAGAAGATTCTGAAAGATTTAGTACAAGGTTAAAGATTTCTTATATAAGTAAACTGCTTTAAAGACTTAGTGGTCATGGTATATTTTTATTAGTATTAACTAAGGTCATTGATAGGTATAGTTAGGTGAATGAATATAAAAGCTAGAGTGTTTAAATAGAGAACTTACAAACAGTTTTCAGATATAGCAGCTAGTATAGAACTTTTAAATAAACTACTTAAATTAAACAATAACTAAAGTTGTATGAGTAGCTAGTTGTATACTTTTTTTATAATTGCCTCCTGTAGTTGTAATGCAACTATTAGCTAAATATACTAACAATAAAATTTTGGGTCACAAGTACTTTAATATTTAAAAAAAAAAAAATTAGCTAATATAATACAAATACATAATAATGTCTAATTTAATAAAATATAATATACTAACATGCTTTTTACATTACTACTTATCTATATATACTAATTTTTTTACTTTTTCTTTATATTTCTTGGTTGCCTTATTATTAGTCACATATATTTCATTAAAATGATAAGCATTACCATCTTTACTCCTTGTTAACAACTTTAAATTATTATATAAATATTATATAATTTTTTATTATTTAATTTAATTAAATATATTAACATTTTATACTTTCTTTTTCTCTTTTAAAAAATAATAATAACAACAACAATAATAATAATTTATATAATGCCTAATTTTATATTATGCTTATTTTATTTATTTTTGTATTTTTATTTATTTTAATATAATTGTATGTTTTTAATGTTGAACTGACATTTATTATTACAGTATGTTTCTATGTCTTGTAATATTGTTATAATATCTTCTTAATTATGTCAAAATATTTATTATTGCAAAAATTAACTTCTGCCTTATGGTCTTCATTTGTGAAAACTAGGCTTCATTTATTTTTAGTTTAAGAGCAAACAACTTATCTTTTTCTATTAGTATTTTAATTTTATTTTAAAAAATAAAATATACTTAAAAAAGATATAAGCCTGATAATAATAATAATAAGAACTTAAATCTGTTACCTATTTTATATTTGAAATTAACTAATATCTTACTGATATTTCTATTATTTAGTATATCAAATAAATAACAAATCCAAACTCAATTAATGATAAAATATATTTTACAGTAAAATCTTTATAAGTGCATACCCTCTCTATATGCATGTTATGTCCTAGTCCCAAGTTCAGACTTAGAGCTAAGTGCACACCTGCACATGCAAGTAATTCTAAGGTTCATGTATATTAAAATTTTTCTGTAAATGCATACACATGACAATTATATGGCAATAGCCAATCAGAGATCAGTATAATACTATGAGTCAATTCAAAACATGCATAAAGTAAAAAAAATTTTTTTCAAGAAAATAGCTATTCAAAATTATATTTAATTCTGTATTATATAAATACATATCTTATTTTCCAATAAGTAGCAAAATTTATTAGTTTTTATAGCTTACAAGTTTTCTAAATGTAATTTTTAAAAACAGCAAATATGTTGCAATGTTTAATGTAATCGGCAAGACAATTTAAAAATGCATTTATTTATTGCACTACAGTTTACATATTTGTTAGTACATTAAATAATTATTAAAGATGTCTGTATGATTCTGTTATTTGTATCTTAAATAATGTAATTGCAAACGTAATTAGAAGACCTAAAAAGTAACTATAAAAAACTAATCAGATCCTAAATAAATAAATAAACTAAATCTATAATTAAGCTATAACTTAACAATTAAGCAAGTATAACCATGGCTTTGGAACTGTGCTTAAAGCTGGTATAACTAATTTAAGATAGAGATTCCAAAGCCATAGTTAAACTAGTTTGATTATTAGCCAATTCTATCTATATGAGACAGCTGTATTAGTACTATATAGTATATATTAAATATTTGTATTAATTTTGAAATTATAAAAAATACTAAAATAAAATAAAATAAGAATGATAAAATTAAATGCTTCAGAATAGAAAAATAAAAGTACCAGATTTTTGCATAATAGCTCACATTTGTATATTATTTTAAATATATAAGCATTTTTTTGAATATGTATATGAGTGTAATTTTGAATTAAAGACTAATCATTTGCTATATAAAAATATGAAGATAATTGTATAATTGGCTAATTACAGAGATTTTACATTGATTTAGATATGCACATTATTTCAGACATCATTTTGAAGCCATGCATCTTATTTTCAGATATTATATTTTTCAAAATCATACTTATATATATTATTATGTGAAAATGCATTATGATGAATTACTTATATTATGCTGTTTCAAAAGCCTCTAAATGAATAAAAAAATGCAAGAATCTTGATAAAATAATAATAATAATAATACTGTAATATGTACATAAAATTAGTTATAAATATGAGATGTAAATCCAAAAAAATAAATAAATAAAAATAAAAATAAAAAAAAATAAATATAAAAATTAAACAAACCTTTATACAATACTGTATTTAAAAATGTTTTACAAGAAAACCACCCTAACTAAAATTCAAAAGTGAGATCTTTGCACTTACATTCTCAATAATAAACTAATATAGGCTCAATATGTTAATTAGATTAAAGAACAGTAAAAGGTTAGAATTAATGAAAGTACTATTTCTTGTATTTTAAAAACAGAAGAACAAAGGAGTGTAGTAACCTAGTGAAGTAGTCAGGTTGTTAATCCTCAAATGGCAGGTCCAGAATTCAAATCCCATTGTTGACAGAAAATTTGAAAATCCTTCTTGTGTTATGATTAACTGTTTCTCACAGTTGGTTGAGATAAGACACCTGTTACCTGTGTTACACCAGCATGACTGGCAGGTCATATGGCATTTGTATAACAGTCACATGATATTGTTCTTTGGGACAAGGTCTGTAGTTACACAAAGAAATTCAAACTGGTATCAGGTGGTGCAAACCTACAATAAGTTCTTGTGGCCATGTAAATTATAGGAACCAAAAGAAGAAAGACAGAAACCTACTTGAAAGATCCAAATAGAGAGATAACTCAAACTTTCGACAATATTACTGTAAAGACTAGACTTATAAAACAGAGCTAGAACTTGTGAAACTGGGCAAACATGTCAGTTTTTAAGAAAAAACTGGATAAACCAACCAGGCCATCAGAATTTTCAAGTTTCAGAAAAAAAAGATACATGCCAGCAAACATATAAACCAGAGGTGTATAGTTTTGACTTATCTTTTTAGGCTATCTGGAATGGCAGTTTGGTGGAATTTGAATCAAATACCAAAATAGTAAAGATATGTTGTGAAGTTAGTACCAGGGTTGGAGTGAACTCTACAAGAACATAGCAGTTTAATAGTATAACCTAACCACTAATGTTGGTCTTAGCCATTGTAATATTAGGTTAGCTATAAGAATAGGATACAGAAGATTCTAGAAGGTTTAGTACAAGTTCAAAGATTCTAAAGAACTGCTTTAAAAACTTAGTGACTATAGTATATTTTTACTAGCATTAGCCAGGATCATTGATAAGCAGAAGTAAACAAGTAGATATGAAAACTAGAGTGGTTAAATAGAGAACTTACAAGCAGGTTCCAGGTATAGCAGCTAATGTAGAAACTTTCAAGTAGAATACTTAAATTAGACAATGACTAAAGTTGTACAAGTGGCTAGTTGTACATTTTTTTTATAGTTGCTCTTTGTAGTTGTAATGCAACAATTAGCCAAATATACTATTAATAAAATTCTGAGTTGCAAGTACTCACTTTAATATTAAAAAAAAAAAAAAACAGGTGAACAATAACTTAGTTTAGAACCAATTAGCTTAGATATAAAACAATATAAATCTGTTACCTATTTTGAACTTAAGCTTGTGCTCAAGAAATTTGTTTTAACCTATCAAAATAAAACAGTATTAAGCAATGTAATCCTTATTGAAAAAGCAAAATTGCTTGCTAAAAGATTAAAACTTTTTTAAGGTGTGTTTCAATTTTTTGCTAGATGGCTTTATAAATTTAAAGATCATAATGGTATTTGCCAATGAAGGATTAAAAAAGAGGCAGGATCTGCTAATAAAACTGTCATTAATAATGCTTTACCTTTAATAAAAAATTATTGTTTTGAATATCCTCTTGAAAGAATCTACAATATAGATAAAACTGGGCTTTTTTATAGATAAAATCATTTGGCAATATCCTATTATTCTATATATTTAAATAATGTTTTCTGTTATTAGAATAACTTATAGTATTGGTTACTATTAATAAAAATCAAACATATTTATTTAATAAATATGTCTGATTTTTATTGATAGCAGTCTATATTTCTATTTTATAGATTAGAGTCAGATCAAACACTTGCAACTAGACATTTTTCTAAGTGTAAAATGAATAAAGAATGTCTTTTAGTTGTATTGTATATAAATGCTAATGGCTCTTATAAATTAGACCCTCTTGTAATCAGCAAATATCAAAGATCTTGCTGTTTTAAAAATATAAGAATTCAAAATATGCCTATAAAGTATAGTAGCAATGTGAAAGCTTTAATGATTTTGTTACTTTTTCAAGAGTAGATTCAAGAATTTGATCATTAAGTTGGTCAAATGCATCAAGGCCAACATGTATTACTTCTTCTTAATAACTGCCCCAGTCACATTTTAGCTAAACTTACTTTGCAATATACCAAAGTTTTGTTTTTGCCTCCAAATAATACTTTGAAAATCCAACCATTAAATGCTGTAATTATTATAACATTTAAAAGATTCTATTATCACCTTTATGTATAATAAGGTATACCTATATTAGATCTATAAAAAATATAAGTCTGACTTTTTTAATATTTTTTATTATTATTAAAAATTTTTTTTATTTATTATTTTTTTATTTATATATATATTTTTTTATTTATTTATTTATTTTTTTTTATTTTTTTAATTTTTATTTATTTATTTATTTTTTTTTAAAGCTTATTGCTGCAATATGTAGAAGAAGGCAACTGTGCTAAAGATTTGTGCATAAATGTCTTGCAGACAATTAATTTTATTATTCAAGCCTAAGATGAGGTTAGTGCTAAAACTATTTACAATTGTTGGTACCATACAAAGATTTTTCCATATGATATTAATGCTGAAAGAAATGCTTCAACAAGCACTTTGGCAAATACTTTGGCAAATACTTATCAAAAAAATTTAGCATATAATGATTTTGTAGGTGCACTGCAAGCTTTTAGACATTTTTATCTAATAAGAGTTGAAGAATTTCTTAACATTCCTGAAGAAGATATAGTTTATAAAACTTCAGAGGATGATTAAATTATTAATGAACTCACATATCTTTTTAGGAATGCTAATGAAGATGTAGATTTAGATAAAGCAGATGATAGCAATAAAAGTTCTATTATTGGTGCTAGCATCACTATATCTAGCTTAAAAACTGTTCATATGTTTCTTTTTTAACAGGATGGTGCAAAAGAATATATAAGATTAGTAGAAAATATTGAAAAGTTTATTAAAATTAAAAAAACAAAATTAATATAACAAACAAATCTTAACACACTTTTTAATTAAAAAACTACTTAGCAGTAATTTTTTATTATTGTATTTGAAATAAATTATCTCTCAAAATTTAGTAAATGGTCATATTATATAAAAGTTCCTCTTTAATAATACTGTATCATATCTAGTGATATAAAAAATATACATTTTATAATAACATGCACATAAATGCACATTAATGCATATGAAATGTTTCAGGCACATAATAACATATGATAAAAAAAAGGCAAAAAAAAAAAATGATTGAGAAGAGAAATCTTGATGAGATAAAATGCATATAAAACAGAATTATATACATTTATATGCATTCATATGCATTAATGCATATGATTCAGCAATTATGTACATGTATAAAACCCATCTTTAATTATATCTCATAGATTTTTTATTAATTGAATATAGGTTTTTTTTAACAATTTAGATTACCTACTATAAATACAATGCAATATTCACTTTAAATTTTTTATTTTCTAAAATATAAGCTTTTACTTTTTTATATCTAGGTTCTTAGTTTTAAATTTGTAAAATAACATATCAGATCTTATGATTTTTTATACTATAGTATTATATTTGCTAGATTCAAAAAAAAGATAATTTTGCATCAACTCTAAATGTATAGAGATCTGCAATCTACTTATTTGATTGAAGTGTTTACTACTTATTCAAAAAACATTGAAGCCATTATAAAACCTTTGATATAATTATGTAGCATTTATAATAACCAATAACTAATAGTAATTGTGTATCATACTTTCTTGGTTACATGATATTGGTTAAATTTGATTGGCTGTTCTCTAAGTGTATATCCTCTCTAAGTGCACATATATGCCTAGTCTTAAGGACATGCACTTATAAAGGTTTTACTATAATTTCTAATTAATATAAATTTTTGTAATAAATAGCAAATAAAAAACTCTTTCTGTAAATCATTTTTACACAAAAATAACTAAAAATTTGTCAGTACTAAAATCATTAATACCTGGTTATTTTATTAAGATAACTAATTTTGGCATCTTAAGTAAACTTATTTAGCTACTAATTTTATATATATTTTAAAAATTTTAAAGAGATACTCTCAAACTTGCAGTTTAATACTACAATAACGCCTTTGGGCTTTTAAACTCTTTCTTTAATTATTTTTTGACAACTAGCTTTACAATTCACTCTATAGTCCTAATAAAAGTTGTAGAGCTCATTTCTCTGATCAAAACAAGGTCTAAACAAACCTAATAGACCTAATATTAACGGAGATAGCTTAAAAAATAGCTTTAATTCTCTTGTAAACTTCTTAAAAAATTCTTTTTCATTTACCTCAATCTTTTTTTTCTTACACGATTTTTGTGTAACATTAAATCATTACTACAATCATTTTCATTGTAAACTAATTAATATTACTTAAAATAGCATATAATTTCTTATTGGTTTTTCTTCTTTTACTAATTTGATTTTGTATACTATCACAAGGCTTTTTTGGGATGTGTAACTAAATCATTACATTAAGCCACACTTGTCATGTCAGCCACACTTAGTACTACATAGGTTACACAAAATTGTTCTCAAGGTTACACAAAGCTGTAGCAGCTGCAGTAGCTGTAGTATTACATCATACCCCTATCAAATCAACCCTTGCTACTATAAAGTTTATATATTAAAAAACTTTAACAGTTAATAATAAAAAATTTTACTAAGTAATATTAACTTCTATTCTTAAGTATACCTGTAGTACAAAACAATATTCCTAACCAACTATTATGTAATCAACAAACAAATCATACAAACACATTTAAATCCTCAACACAAGCCAGAACAGTATATACTTACAGTTGCACT